GGGCTGGGCCCCCTTTAGGGGGGTGGGGGGGCGCAGTGAGGGGCCGGGGAGGTGGGGAGGGGCCGAGGGACTGGGCCATATCCATAAGACGATTGACTTCATGCTGCTCTACACGTAAAGCTAAACAAACTTAGACTAAAACAGTCTAAACGAAAGCTAACTGAAGGCTGCAGTGCAAGTGGGTTAATGTAATTGTTCTAATAGTGATAATGTTGACATGACAAAGTGATATTTAGTCATTAGGTATTAAACCTAATGCTTCCCTGTCATAGCAGGCCCTGGTGTGTAGTCTGTTGTTTTCATCATCTTCCCCCGGTGTAAATTGTTTTCCTATCTGACATCACTCAAGGTGAATTGTGGCTGTGGGCATATTTATTTGCTGCAATAATGAGCAAGTCTTTCTTTTGTTCCCCTGCAATTACTGAGAAAGTGGTGTATACCTACACACACTGTGTGAATGCTCCACATATCTTACCGCCACTCGATGTTGATTCTCCAAACTCAATGCTATATTTTCTTTTACAGGTCGCTATTAATCCTCTCATCAAGAAAAAACTGCCGCCCGACATTTTTGTCTTTTAATTAGCTGTCTGTGAGTAACGGAGCATGCAGGTGGAGGGGGAGGGGAGGGGGGGGCAGTTGTGTTTGAAACATAAGTACATATTAATTAGTGATACTGTACAAATCTGTTTAAGTTACAGGGACTGGGGCGCCAGGCCAAATGTGTCCAGACTTTATTGAACAGGTCAGAGCCAATAATATTGATAAGATCCTTCTGTGATCCTTAAGTAGGAAGAGTCCCATAAAAATGCAGTGAATTTTCAAATATATTTTTTTTATATTGAATCATTTTGCTCATCTTAATGCCTTATAGGTCAGACAGCGCAAGGAAAACACATGGCAGTAACAACTAAAAAGTACACAAAACCAAAAACTAAGGTTATATGAGATTAAAATATATCAAATGTAAATATAAAAAAACATCCAATGGTAGGTCTACAAAGATATATTATCAAAAAATGTTGTCAAGCTATTGTTTAAAAGGATCATTTAAAGGTAGATATACAGAGCGTTAGCCAAAAAAGACAAATATGTTTTATGCCAGAAAGTAGCTACTGTAAAAGCTAACAAAAAAGATACTAAAATTCCCTTCAAACCACATCCAGGTTTAAAGTGTGGGTTAAAACAAAGCTCTCTTACTCTGCCAGTGGAAATTTTTGTTTTATTTTAAAAATAGCTCTCAGTGCTACGACTGGCCCCAGGGCTGGACTCAGAACGTGCATGTTCTGAGTCTTTACCTGCTGCTTGGTTATGATCCTCGGAATGGTCCGTTTCCTGCCTCGTCCAGGAGCTGCTTCCATTTGTGGTCTGTCCTTTGATTAGCTTCAAAGACCAAAAGCCCAGCCTGATATCCACCTCAGTGGGTTTCAAACAGGTAGACTGTGGGTCAACAGGTGATTTCAGTGTCACGTTGTTCCCTGCAGTCCACGGGCAGCTGCACTAATGTGGTTTTTGTCAGAGTAATAAGAGCCTCTCGGAAAATGAATGTTTTTAATTACTCTGCCACAGATTTCCAGCGCTGTGGTGGTAATTCTGCTGAGCTCCACGGACGTGACCAACGGAGCACTTCCATTTAGTCGATGCCTTAATGCTCTCGGACATTATAGGCACACAACAGCACAGAGTGTAGTGCACATGGCGCCTCAGTCTCCATAAACCAGCGTCTCGCTCCTCCGGAGGAAATACTCAGAGATGGACCCTAAACGGCTGGCCTGGTGACTGCCTGTATATGTTTTTATGAGGACAATTCAAAGGAAAGTTGGTACACTTTCTAAACGCAATAAAATCTAAAGTCTGTAAACTGTTAATGGACTCTAACATTTATAGGCCCCAAACAGAACTGTACAAAATTTTTACGTAAGTACTGTACTACTATAACTACTGTATTTTTTCAGTAATTTAAAAGTCTATTTGGAAAAAAAAACCCCAAAAGCTAATTCTTAAAACAATAAACTGAAGAAGACTGTTTTTAAAAGAATAAAAAAGAAAAATGGGTAGAGCCATGGGTAGGTGGCCCCACTTGTGACAGCTTCCAGGGATGGAACCAGAACCACTATTTCAAATTATATTGTTAAATTTTTTTCATAGATTTCCTCCAGAAGGCCGAGGACGGCAGAAAAGTGTTTAAAACGGTTCAGCTTCAGCCTCTGGTTCTCCACATTTGCTGTAAGTAATTGAATGAGGAAACGCGTTGCTAAGAAGCAGGGCTATAACAAATGTATACACCCACCTAAGTCTTTTGCGCAGCACCGTACATGAACTAATTTAGTGGAAACATCCTGCACCGTAATAGCCTAATAAATGTTCCAGTTTTCAAGTGAATTTTATTGTAGAACACTTCATATTCAGTGGTTAGCATTCACTCTTTATTTCGGAAGCATAAAAAGACATTTCTCTGCAGCAGCAGTGTAGAGGTCCCTGGAGAAGGACGTGGGGTTTTTTTACGCAGCCAATTCTGATTGAGAAGTGGGTATGTGTAATGCTAACTGAAAAATAAGTGTTTGTCTCGATGCACCCACGTACACCCTCCACTACAGCACTGATCTCCCCGTATCTGTAGAGCAGGCTGGCCAGTTAGGCACATGGACCCGGAAATCCATAGGTTGTATGGATCAGTTTTCCTCATCTATGTCTCACTGGCACCTGAGCCTGCAGTGTGTTCTTCTATGGTATCCTCTAAGCCAGTGGTTCTCCAACTGTTTCTACTCTGTACCACCTGAGAAAACATTGATCTCTCTGAGTACCACCATGATGACCAACATTAGAATACAGCAGCAGAGGCCTTCACTGTTAGCTTCACCACAGGAGAGATGTTTAGAAAGATGTTTATGTTCAAATGTTGTGTTCATGTTCATGGTATGTTTCAGATTTATTCAATTGAAAATATATGTGTTTCAGATTTATTCAATTGAAAATAAATTGGTAAATGTGAAAATATAAATTTTCCCCGCGTACCACTGGTGGTACATGTACCACGGTTTGAGAACCACTGTTCTAGACTATCTTTAGCGTCAATACTGTTAAAGTGAAGACCTGTCCTGAGCCTGTCTCCGTCATGAATAAATAAATGTCAGCCTCTGCTGCAACAGTGTTCCAGGGCTTGAAGGTCATGAACATTCTACAATGGTTTCCTAAACCCTAACACTCGAAATGTTTCTCTGTAACTCTTCTAATCTTTGGTCTGATTAATCACCTCTCACAATATACAATTGATTTGCTTTCTTGTCCTGGGACTGATTTTAAAAAAATTATATATGTATATATATATAAATATAAAATATAGCTTGCCAAGACTGACCCCTTTTTGATTTGCCCCTAAAACTGAATTTAATAAAATGAACTTGAAATACCTGAAAAACCTGAAATATTTTTTTATTTTTTTTACTTTTAATACAAAATTCACCACCCGTTCCGGAATTTGGATTGCCCCCCCCCCCCCCCCCCGAGCAAATATTTAGACGCAGCCCCTAAACTGTCGGCCTCACCCACTCTACCTCCAGTCATTTTTTTATGCTGCAGTGTAAAACAGAAATTCACAGTGACATTCAGGCTAATCCACACACCTTCCTCCCCTCATTCTACTGTGGCTGTGTAAGAAAAGCATCCTGCTACAGTAAATGTGCTGAAGTGAGAATAAAAAGCGGGATGAAATAAAATAATAATAAAAAAAAAAAAACTGTAATACCTTTGGGTTGGGCTCTTATCTGCACATTTTGTGCAGCAAGCAGCTACATAATGGCGGAGATGAATGTGTGAGGTAAGGCTGAGCACTAACAGTGGCTTTAATGCACACTGTGCAGCCTAAGCATGCCGGAGCAAAAAAAAAAAAAAAACTTTGAGGACTTGAGCTCTCCTCCAAGATTAGCCGGTGATTTATTAGGGCTACTTATGCAAATGGAAACAATTGCAATTTTCCAATTAGGATACCTGAAGGCACAGGCAAGAGTCCCAAACGCCCTGGCAGAAGTCTCACAACAACAGCAGAGTCAGATGATGGAGGAAGCTGCAGCGGCGCCGGAGGGCGGCAGATTAGGGGCTGCCAGGAGTTTTAAAGGCAGGTGTATCGCTTTACAAGACTAAAGTCTCTTTTATTCATTTACAGGGTGTGATTTAAATCATTTAGTCTTGGCAATCCTGTTAGAATTATTACTGGTTGAATGAGTACGCTCACACTGGTTCTGCACCAGGTTTGTGTAGGATCGTGGGATCCAACCTTCTGTTCCTAGGGGACACAACGGAATAGCGCCCCCTGGCGATACATTTGGCTATAACTCTTTTTTTCACGTCCAATACTGATAACAATACTGCAACCGTGAGTATCTGCTGGTATCAAAATCAATCCCGTATCAGTTTTCTCCTCCAGCATGTCGCCAGCTGCGGTTGCTGAGGCGATCGTGTCCCTGGTTACAGAGTGTAGTTTAAAGCTGAGTTGAGCATTTGGGGCTATAGTTGGTTTTTATCAATGTTTGATCCTGAAATATTTACCAAAATCGGACTGATGCCGATCTTGGGTATCGGCTTGAGACGTCCCTTATTTTAACCAGTTGACTTATTGTGTTGTTCATCTGTGTTTAACTGATAAACTAATGAAATACCTGACACTCAGATTTAGACAGATGGAAGTCAGAAAACAATGAAAAAGTGTGAACAAGTTTGTAAAAAAAAAATTATAAATATTCTTTATATATATATATATATATGTATATATATGTATGTATGTATGTATAAGGCTAAAGGCTAAAGTAGACAATAATGTGAGTGCTGCTTTACTGGTGTGAGACCTAGCTAGTTGTTACATACAGTGCTAACAGTAAGATTTGAATATCTTGTTAGTATCAGACTCATTTTACACCAGGACAAAGTGAGAAAAACGTCCTGTATCTGAACGTCCACTCAAGCTGGTACCAAACTCAAGTAGGGCTTAAGGTGTGTTTACTAACCTGTACCAGTCCAGTCAAATGCTCCAGGACGCCCTCCATAGGAAGATGCAGGAGGTGATTGTTTCTCAGATTGAGTCGAGCCAGATTAACTCCTGAAAACACGCCCAGAGGGAGGCTCCGCAGCAAGTTGGCGTTGAGAAACAGCAGCTGCAGAGACGGCATTGTGTCGAAGGTCCCGGGGTCGATCACGTGGATCTCATTATACTCGAAATAAAGAAATCTGTAATTGAAGAGAGGGCAGTGTTACGGAGTATAAAAACATACAATAGCTGTGGAAATTGTTATGAACTTCAATAAGATGGTGTTTGCTATTGTGGGCTTTAATTGAGTTTTACATAGAGAGTATATGCAATGCGTGTTTACAGATGAACTCAGCACAATGGCTCTGTTAACGTGGTGATGTCTTTGAATGAAAGCTAATCACTTTTTAGCATAACATTTTAGCTATTCTCTAGGCTTCATAGTCATTAGAAAGACACACAGAGAGACTAAATAAGGAGACTAAACGTTGGCTCATAGTATAGCAAAAATAAAAGTCTTCTGAATACCCAGAATTAGCTATTAGCTTAATTGCAAATTAACCAAGATGCTATGGAAATTAGCTTGAAGGCAGCCTTAAAATCAATGATAGCCAAAAAGAAAGTAATAAAGTACATAGTCATTTACCTTAACTAGCACCATGACATTAAAACCAAAAAAAAGTGCTGTAAAGTCAAAATTTCAAAAGGCTAGATTATAAAAAATAAGATTAAGGAACAGCTGAGTGTTAGCTCCCCGAGCCTCCCTCCCCCAAAAACGTCAGGCTCGAGTAGCAACATTGTAACCTACATAAACTGCATTTTAAATCAATATTTGTTTGATTTAGTTCTCCCACACAAAATAATTAAAAGTGTCAGTAAATCACAGCTTAATGTTAACCAAGAAATTATTAAAATCACTCGTAAGACTGAAAAACATAATTTCCAAAAACAAAAACAATAAAGAGAATAAAATGAAAGAATATATATATATATGTTAATGGCTATAGGGTTAGCTAAACCTAAGTTAGCTAATGTATTGATTCAAACTGGTTGCAGGGGCAACAATCAATGCCTGGCAAAATCTCATTATTTCGACCATAAAGTGGGCAATAAACCAGTCGAGAAAATGAATTGGGCCTAAATAAAAACTACCTTGTTGCCACATTTGGCCCCAGGACCTTACTTTTGACTCTGGTGCAATAGTTGATGTGTATATTCATATTAGCTTGAATGGGTTGGAAAGACATAATTTTGATTCATGATTAGAGCACAGTTTGAATTTTTAACAGCTTTCTATCTTTCCCTGTTTTTATTCTGTGGGTAATTTACCTCCACTGCACCACAGCATGGTAATTACATCAAGTCATAAGAGAAAATTTGATTTAATCTGCACCTCCCCGGCTCACAGCTGATGAGATGATCAGTATCAGATGATATTGTGTACTTTTGCGCTGATGACTGCTTACACTTGCCTTGGCATGCCTCGTCGTCATGTTAAATTTAGGGTACTTTGAATTTTTAAAGTGTTTTTCAATAATGGAAATCAGCCCAAGCTCAAAATGCCCCAGAGTCACTGACGAGAGCTAAAAAGAGGTTAAAAGGAAAACTTCGAGGATGTTCTGAGAGCATCTCTGCTATCGATTAACAGTCAAATTAGTTGCTCTCAACATTTTGTGAAGTCTATCCTGAAAAGAACTGAGAAAATGGACTTTTAAAGTAAATATTGTGAAACGTTGTCAAAAATGTAAACCTGGCAGCACAGCGTGAATGTTTTCCTGTCCCCGTCAACGTCCACCATGTTTACTTCACTGCAGAAACGCCATTACAGGCGGTGAATGTTCTCTGTTTACATTATTTACAGAGCAATTAGCTTTGTCTGCTTAATCTGACACATACAGTAGTAGTACACTAGTAGTACAGTAGTAGTACAGTAGTAGTACAGTAGTAGTACAGTAGTAGTACAGTAGTAGTACAGTAGTAGTACAGTAATGTATTTAAATTTGGTAAAATAACTAATATATTTGATATTACAAGAAAATATGTCTACAGTTTAGCGTGAATTAAATAATGCTGTGGAAAAAAAAACATATACAGTATGTTAATAAAATATAATATTGTAACCTTAGAATGTTGTTAATGTATAAAAAATACAAATATTTTGAAAACATATACAGTATGTTAATAAAATAAAATATTGTAACCTTATAATGTTGTTAAAAAATACAAATATTTTTAGAAAATAGTGATAGTCTTAAATGTATGATTCATCGTCATAAACGTATGACTGTGTTTTTGTCATTTTAATTTTTTTCTCTCACAACTTTCTTGTCTCAATTCCTCTACAGTTACAGTTGTGTTCATGTTCATTTTCTTACATTTAATTTAATTTTTTACTTTCAACTTTATTCTTGTATTTTTTTTTCATTGTGGTCTTAGAAAAAAATTAAAAATAAGTTGAAAACTTTAACTAATGAACTCATATTATGTGATGGGAAAAGTTGAATATAGGGAAATATATACCATGACAAAAAAAAAACAATAAAATAGAATAGAATAGAATAGAATAAAAGGCTAATATTCTCATACAATGTAACATTTTGATTTTTTTTCTCGTAATACTATAACTTTATTCTTCTGCATTTCCATCTACATTTCACATATTTGTAATTGTTTTTACAGTATTAATTTTCTTCTTTATTCTCCCATTTATTATTATGACTTATTATGATTGTATTTCTGTCTCTGACATTTCCTTAATATTCCATCATAAATATAATTTTCTTTATGTATCTAGATGTTTTACCGCTTTATCAACAATTCTGTAAAAAAAAAAAAAAAAGAACCTCACACATTCCAGATTTGCCCTTCACTTGTGCGACGAACAAATGACAGAAAAAGAAAAGCCGGCTCTTACTGCAATCACACTTATGATGCTAATCAAAATGTTCTACTTCAAATGTAACAGTGAAATTAATACCCACGTACTTACCAGAGGAGAAAGACTTATTAGCCCTCCCACATGAAATGTAATCATTTTTAAGCACATCGTTATTGCCTTTTCACAGAGCAAGAAATTCTCTAACGCTGCACATCTAATCATAATCCTTTTTTTTTTTAATTATTTTGCTTGGCATCCAGAAACCAAAAGTTGTAAAAATGCAAATATATTTCAAATTAACGCCCCCTCCAACACCAGGAAAAATATATGGAGCCATAACAGAAACCACAATAATGTATACACATCTAATCATAATCCTTCAAACGGGGGTCTGTGGAGGTGGCTGTGGAACGTTTGATTGACAAGACAATTTGTATTTATTTATTTTTGAAATTTTATTTAAATAGTTGGGCACTGAATTTAAAAAATAAGCTTTTTTTAAGCTAGATTTGGGTTGTTGTTGCTTGTTCCATAGTGTAGCGGTTAGCACGCCTGCCTCGCATGCAGAAAGGCATTGGTTTGATTCCCACATGCTTGGTGCTTTCTAGTCACCGCCTGTTGACACTAACAGCATGTCTGCTGCTAACACAACAATTTCCCAAATATGAAATCAATACAGTACAAATGTATTATTAAACCTAATTTTATACAGCATGTCTGCTAGAGGCTTCATCTCTCCGTGGTTTGGAGCTCCTTGACTTGAAAAACTTTGAAGACTGTAGGCCAGTCCTTGAAACCAGGTTTATCTTTTCAGATGAACTCCCCATAGAAGAACCTAGTTTAGGGCGTGACCTGTCACTTGTCAAAGCGTCGGTGCAAAAGCCAGAGGATTTAATTCATTCTTGGAAAAACATTTGCAGGGAAACAGATAGACATGTAAATATTGACCAGTGGAAATTATAGACAGATCAACCCTGTGTGGAAGAGAAGTGTCAGAGGAAGGAAGTAGAAAAAAAAAATCATCATGAAATAACTGCACAAATGTGTCTAAGAGCCTAGAAGAACTAGCAAACCACTGGTGAATGACTGGAATTAACCTGTCAACAAAGTCAGCTGAAGACTCCTGAGCAGTGCTGGAGTCCATATTGAAGAGATCAGACTGAAGTCTGCAGAGGAGGAACACTTTGGCCATAGATTTAGGTAATATAGAAGTTATTTAGAGGAAATAAGGGAAGAGAACTTCCAGCTCACAGGAGGTTCTGTGCTTTTGACCGGAACAGGGAAAGATGAAGCGCTTTGGAGAGAAGAAAAAAAACCTCAAGTAGGCAACACCAAAGTGGGTCTTAAACTGAGGCTGTCAAAGGATTAGCTGTGGATTAATAGTAATTATAATTTAGTAATATGATAATAGTAATAAAGCGTGAAGAATCGTGACATGGATAAATCAAGAAGCTTTACTATGGCAAAAAAAAAATCTGTACATCGCTGGAACAGAAAAACAAATAACAGCAGGTATTGGTTTCACACCTGTTTTTATTTCTGACTAATCCAAATGACGGGATTATCAACATGAAAAAATAAATATACTCAAGTATAAATTGATATTTAGCTTCACAGAGTTGGTGGACTTTAGTCTTTACGGTGCATCTTAATGAAAGCTTATAGATGGTGTTAAGTGCTGCTTCGGTGACGCCCTTCGCCTCAACATTATTAATCAGTTTACAGTTCCACACAATCCCTCTGACATTTACGTCAGTCTGCACCGCAACCTGGTCTGACGCAAGCCCAGCGTCTGATCAGAAGTTAAACACAAGCCAGGCCGACTGTTGATGGTGTTTTAAGCTCCATGAAACAAAATCTTTTTCTCGCAGCGTGTGCAAAACACAGTCTTGTTTATCGACCATCGATCATATTAGGTAAACAATAAGTAGAAAGATGAAGTGTTGGATATACAGTGCTGTATTATCCGGACTTCACTTTTATTCATCCAGACTGGTGCGACTTATACTCAGGTGCGAGTTATATATTAGAATATAGAATTTCACATGTTTTTTATTTTTACACTGACGGCCACTAGAGGGCACTCTAGCTGGCTAGTGCGATTTATACTCCGGAACTATTTATAGTCTGGTAAATAGGGTATGCATAATTTTATCTATGCATTAAAATGAGTTGAAAATTTGTATCACAAATTAATTATATGTTAATTTCGACACAACCCAAGGAATACTTCAGTACTTCAGTACTTCAGTACTTCATAACTATACATATATCCCAAAAGCCCAAAAGACTTAAGTGAATATTATTGACCGTCAGGCCTAAAACCTTCGAGCGGAGCCAATATGAAATCTCTAAAGTCAAGTAAACGCGAGTGTTGATGAGACAGGATGAACAAATATGGAGAAATCTGAAAGATTTTCCAGTGAATCACAGACCAGGACGTCTCAGGAGACCACTCTGTCGTCTGTGATTAAGTGAAAATAGCACACTACTGACTACTGACTAGATTTGGAACAAGTGTGACTGTGGTGCAAAGCTAATCTGTGTCCGAGATACTCTGTTAGGAAATCCATCTGCTGTATCAAATCACTCAGGAAATCTTTTAAAAAAGAATTACATTTTCTTTTCTTGAGAAATAAGTTTGTTCTCGACTGTATATTTGTTTGAAGTGCAGTGAAGTCAAACTGCTTAAAATGCGCAGCGTGATCCAAAAAGCACAGAAAGGAAAGAAAAGGGAACTAATCCTACCTGAGGTTCTGTAGCCCCAGGAATACATGAGGGCTGAGACGTTCCAGGTTGTTCCCGTTCAGATAAAGACTCCTCAGGCTGGGCAGGCTGGAGAAAGCCCCCTCCTGAAGGTAGGAGATTCGATTGTTTCCCAGGTGGAGCAAGTCAAGGCTGGAGAAATTCCAGAAGTCTGTGCGGTAGATCCTCTGGATTAGGTTTCCGCTCAGGTAGAGTTTGCGGCCGTTGAGGGGCCGCGGTGTGAGCTGAGACACGTTTTGGAAGCCGTTCTCCTTGCAGTTGACAGTCAGACCCAGGTCTGTGATGTGCAGATTGCATGTGCAGCCCAGGGGGCAGATGATGGGGATGGGCGGACGTGTTTGGTAGCCAGCTACAGGGGGATTTGGCATCAGGCTGCGAGGTGTGGGGGATATTTTAGAGGGTCTGGGCTTTTTGGTGGGCTTCTGTTGCCTCTCTCTGTCTTTACGCTCTACTGAGGAAGACGAGGAAGAAGTGGAGGAAGTATGAGTGTTCTGCCGAGAGCCGTGCACCATGGAGGACGGTTTGGTCGGCCTTACCCGCCCGGGGTGAGACTTGGATTTAGAGTTAGGGGGCGAATGTTGAGGCTGAGATCCAGCGGAGGTGCTGCTGCTCTCTCCTTGCAGCTCTTTATCTGGCAGCTCAGCACATAGTTCCTTTCTGGGGATTTCTCGTATGTCTTTGCCGTGTAGGTGGAAGGGATATTCACAAGTCACGTCCCCGACCACAGCAGTGTAGGGGATCTGACCCAACCACTGCTGCAGCTGCAGCGCCTCGCAGCCACAGTTCCACGGATTTTCCTCCAGCTGCAGCTCCATCAGGGATCGACCGATGTACTCCAGAGTCCCAGCATATGCCAGGCTCTTCAAACGGTTTCCCCGCAGGTCCAGATGAGTCAGAGACACAGATCTGTGGCAGGACAACAGAGAGAGAAAATAGAGCAGCTTAGATTCAGGGTTTTTTCTGCACCTGCACTTTGCTTTTTTTGGTTGAAAACAAGATGTGAAATGATAGATATAGTTTGATTTGCTTGTAAAAAGTCTTGGTTGCTCACAATGGCATTTTCAACAGACCGTAAATGTCAGGTTAAGAAGACGACAACTTCATTCAACTCATACGTGAGAGTGAGGTTGTTTCTATGACAGATTTAATGGATTTTCTTTTTTTTTTTAGTGGAAAGAGATTCTGTTGAGTGCGTGACATTTCTAACTCAAGTGCTTTGTCTAAACAAATACAGTGTTTAAAACATTATTATTGTGATAATACATTGATTAATTAATGCCAACAATAGAATTCTGCACATAATAGATCATTCACCAGTGCAATTTCTAATCATTAAAAGAATTAAGTTTAAATATATATATTATCACCAACTGCTTATTTCAATTTCAACATTCAAGTGTGGCTGACACAGATAAAGGAGGAGCCTGTTTGACTTCATCTTTGTTCACTCCTCCGTGAGCTCATGTGTCCTCCACTGGTGTCCTTCACACTTACACCCAATGTTTTTTGTTTTGTTTTGCCAGGAATGAATCTTCCCTATCTGTTCTATCTCTGCGTCTTCAGTCTGGATCTACAGTGAGTAGTTCTTTAATCTTCGCCCATCTACGCCCTCATTTAACCCCTGAACCCATCATTCACGGTGACTGCACATCTCTCTAAATTCCCATGGTTTACAGATCTGTCTTGCAATGACCACCAACACTTGACTCTGCCTCTCAGGGATGGTTGACCATTGTTTGTCAGATCTGGGTTGGAGGCAGCACTGACACATGGAGACCAGACCCGGTCTCCAAAACCAGAACTGGGTTGGAGGCAGCACTGACACATGGACCTGGTCTCCAAAACCAGAAGTGGTACAAATGCTGGGCCACTTCAGGAGACATCCAGATTATTTTTTAAAAATATATATTTCTGCCACATTTGTCATTTTTCATGCCAGCTCACATCAATATTTCTGGGCCAGATGATATCCAGTAGTGCAGCATCACTGCCAGAACTGGCCCACACTTTCACTCCTGCCTGGGCTCTGGACCAGCTTCCCCACAATGAAAATGATATTTGTGCTACTCTGTCATTCATGGTTTCTTCTCTTACTTGGTTTAGACATTGCAGTGTTTATAATATGATTAATCTGTCTTCTATGATACAACTAATACGCCACAGAATCATTAATACAACAACACAGCAGACCTTGATCTCGTCGTGTCTAATGCTGCTATCTCTACAGATTAGAAGCAGCATAATTTAAAAGCTTTGCGGCAAAGTAATTGGAGTCTAACCTGAACAGATGAGCAGGTAAGACAGGGATCAGGTTGTCATTGAGGATTAGAACACGGAGCTTGAAGAGGAACCTCAGAGCACCGCTGTCAATTCGTTTGATCACGTTGTAGTCGGCCTGAAGGTACAAAAAAGGAAAGAGGGATAAATTGCTTCAGCGGAGAAAAAG